AGTTGATGACAGAACTGCAAACCGAGCAGCAGAAGGCTCTTGTGGAGGAGCTTTCCACTGAGGAAGAGGAAGAGGCACCGCATGTTAGCAACGAGGAGATAAAATCCATCTGCAAGAAATGGAACAAGTGCCAGGACTTCTTTGAGAGGCACCACCCAAACAGGACAGTGACAGGAAGAGTTTTGGACATGATGAACAACAACGTGGTCAGCCATTTCAGAAAGGTTCTGCAGCACAGGACGAAGCAGGTGAAGCAAACAAGACGAAGCAACTTTTCACCACAATGGAGCCTGCAGCTAAGAGACAACAACATGGATCCCCTGGAGAAGAGGACCCAGCGGAGGGAACCTCTGCCTTGCAGTGATGACCATCTCACCACCCACCTGCCTGCCTGCCCTCCAGCCAGAAGTCACTGTGATGTCCTCCAAAATACACCAAGAGCGAAGTGACCTCTCTTTTGTTTTAAAAGGTGTTGGTGGGTGGGTTTAAAATTTGTTTGGTTTTAAAAGGTGTTTGGTTTTAAAAGGTGTTTTAGATTCCAAACTCTCCCCCACCCATTGTTTTCTCTCTCTCTATCTTCTCTATTTTTGTGCTTAACAGCACAATCCTTTGTCTGAGGGGTCTGCGTACCCCAGTGATGACCTTTCTTCCTTCTTTTCCCCATTGTTCCTTCCCTCCCTCCTTTCCTGCCCTTTTTTAAACCTAAGTCATCCTAGGTTAAAAGAAGAAAAATTCTCCCCCTAGTGGTAGTGGATGGATTAACCACTTCCACTTGCAACCGGCACCTTGAGATACAACCAAAAAAACAGCCGCAACAGATTAATTGCATTTCAATACATTTCAATGGGAAATGGTGCTTCAACTTATGACCATTTTGAGTTACGATCATCCTCTGAAACAGATTAAGTTCATAAGTCGAGCCGCCACTGTATACATTTCAAAAACTGCTAGTTTCATTGTTTCGCTTGAGTAACAGACTCCTGCTGTTGTGTTCAGTAGGCATGCCCTTCACAAACCTCTGAAGGGTGATAAATTCATCAGATTGCTATCACAGAAATTTTGCTTCACAAGAATGTGAAAGTTGTTCTACTAGCAGGTTAGAAAGTGCATCCTGGAAGCACTAAGCACTTGATTGGGATAAAAGTGATCACCAGCCACTCTGTGGGGAAGCAACCAATGATCAACAAACAAAAACAGGAGCAACGAACAGCACAAGGCAATGGCACTGAGAAACTAAGTTACAATCTGAGGCAACACAATTTAAAGCCCTCCCACTTGGTGTTGGAAACAGTATGTGAGTCAACTCTTATGAATGGCGTCCCCAACCTTGGGCCTCCAGGTGTTCTTGGACTTCAACTCCCAGAAATCCTGGCCAGCAGAGGTGGTAGTGAAGGCTTCTGGGAGTTTTAGTCCAAGAGCATCTGGAAGCCCAAGGTTGGGGACCACTCCCTCTAGTGGCGATCTCCACACAAAAGGGAAAGTGAGGAACACCTGAAATTGCCTGGGCTTTTTCAAGGTGCACTTTCTGGTCACACAGGAGCGGCCCAGATCAATATATGCACCATCATTATGCGCAGGAAAGAAATTCTGAATCTAACCCAGGAAATATTTCATAATACACATAAAAACTGATATCAAGCCTGATTTCTGTGATGAGAGCTATTAAAAACAGAAAACAACATCCACAATGGCTATGTTCTGGCCAAAGCCACCCAGAAAGGTTGTACTAGTAACCGTGATAATATTACTGAAAAACAAAGCCAAAGGTTTTCTCACACCGATTATTCAGGCAGTAACTCCTTATGCATTTTGAATGTAGCTTTTGAAGCAGAGGCAAATCAATATAATCTTTCTGTTTTCAGACTTGAACAGTTTTGCCAGATTCTTTGAATTTAAATTAATTCTTCAAGAACAACTTAGGTTAAACTACTGACTGTTCACAGCATCACATACTTTTTATGTTGCTCAGATGTTTCGTTCCTGAATGTGTCTTTGAAAAAAGCAACAGACAACCAAGGAAGCAAGCGAACAAAGAATCAGGCAAGCAAGCCCATGACATAGACAGTCTGTCAGAAAAGATAAAAAGCACTTGTTCATCCCACTGCAAGATCATCCAGGTAGGCAAAAGTCTACCCTACCTGGCCATGGTTTAGGACAAACAAGGATGTGATTTCTCTTCCAGCTACACTGCTCAGAGCAACAGCTTTAACATCATTTTTCTTTAGGAAATCCTTAGAATCCACTGCACAAAAATTGTTATAAATATACTTCCTTGCTATATCTTCTGGAGTTATTTTTTTAAAATGTATTTTTTTACATTTGCAAATTAATCAAAAGCATTCCAGCCAGCAGCCTCCAAAGCAGAAATGAACTTTGCACTCAAAGCGCCATAGTATGAAACTCCACCCTTGGTACAAAGTCTGCTACAAAACAAACCATACCCTCAACTGACACAAAAGGGAGCAGAATGGCATGGGGAAAGAATTAGCCTTACATCATGTGGACAATGGGAAGAATACTGAAACGATTAGTGCCATAACCCTGTACTTTTATAGGAATGCATGCTCTGCCTGGGAAAGCAGACAGATGATCGCCTTAAAAGAAAGTAGACCATGCTTCAGCATATTATGTTCCAAAATGGAACACCAGCCTTTATGTCCCGTATAATACTGCCAACATCAGCAAAGACACTACAGTAATTATGTTGATGGTTAGTGACTTACTATCCATCTGATTTTCAGAATTTCGTGCAAAGTAGTTTACATTTACAAAGTGATAGTGAATATTCAAATCTCGAGGCACAGGAAGTATGTGGAAAGGAGTGCTGATTTGGTCCAAACCACATGGTGCTGACTCTGACTGATTCAGATCACATCCAAAGGGAACTAGACTGATACAGATTTCAGACTGATTCAGTGATTTGGACACTAAAAGAAAGTCAAACATTGGCCAGAATCTAGTTGGTGTAACTTGCTCCAAGTAAACCAGATGATGTCATCATATGTCATCATCTGGTGAGTAGACTATGTAATTTAAATGGATTGAAAGCTTCTTACCCTCGCCCCCTTCCTTTCAGGTTCAAAGGCTTCCTAGGGCTCCTTTCTGCCCTGGAGAAACTTTTAGGAGCCTTGAGATGGAGCAGTGGGGCCTTTTAAAGTACTATTATAAGTCCTAAAAGCAGATATATATCAGAAGCTTCCAGCATTTTAGAATAAATATAAACTGTGGATAGCAACACACAGACACACACACACCCAATCTACATGAAACCTGTCAGGAATTATCAATTCAAAAGGTTATGTCATGGCTCAAAATTTCACGTATGTGAAAAGATAAAAACATTACAGCTGTTTTAAAGGAGAAGTGTAAATGTGGCTCACATAAAATTTTCTTCTAGCTACTTGTTAGGAATAATTCAATTGTGGGGGTAGGGCTACCATCTCCACAAATTTCAACCATGAAAAAACCTCCCAAAGAGTTCAGCTCATTTAATTTCTCAACACAAATCATGGAGAGATACAGAAATTCAGATTTCTCCATTTTAATTCAGATTCAGATCCATATCAAATTGAATCCCATCTAAATCAATCTGAAACAAAATAGGCCTAACTCTGAATCTCCTAATTAAATTTGAACTGCACTCAGAATTATTACAGTTCAGGATTCTACCAACCTAAGTCTCTTAGTATGACAGTTGGCAGGAATGAGAGAAAGAAGTGAAATATTGCAACTGGAAAGGGCTTATTAAACAATTAAATCTAGGAATGCAGCCAATAGCACTCATTTTAGCTTTTGCTTCTTCTAAAATTATTATAGCTTTGAAAATAGAGTACCATATTTTTTGCTCCATAAGACTCACTTTTCCCCAAAAAAAGCGAGATGAAAAGTCTGTGCCTCTTATGAAGAAAATACATTGTGTTTGGTTCCCTCTAGTGGTCAGTCTGATAACTACACCTTTTTTACAACACTGATCTGGAAGGACGCAGCCTCAAGCTTGCTGGGACTAGGCAAAATGGTGGTGGCTTAACAGACCCCCCCCCCAGTGCTATACTCATTAGTAGCACTGATACTACAGGGCATCCGTAGCAGCCCTGTAGGAGCAGCGCTGCTTACTGGACAGCTGGATCACGTGACCAGCCAAACTTTGGGGGAAGGAGAAGGAGAGAGAGAGAGAGAGAGAGAGAGAGCGCTCCATGGAGGAAGGGAGAAGACTTGTCCAGGTACTGTAAATAACATAATACAGAGGAATTCCTGGCTGGATTGCTGACTGGTGACATTAAGGGGCACATGAGGCATTGTTGGTGAAAAGTAAGATTTGTTTCAGTTGCTCACTGAGTGAAAGGCTTTTAGTTATTTTGAGATTTGTCATACTATTTAAAGCAACCCACTCTAATGGTATCTTAAACCTGAATTTTTGATACTTTACACTGATGTATTGTGCCTTGGGATGTCTACTTCACTCCCCTAATGGTGAACATAATTCAAAATGTATTATATAAAGTAATAGACCTCCTCACGTAGGACCACTCTGCCTATAGAAATACCATGCAACTTTATTACACTGGTTCAGAATATTTTTTTCCTTTTTTCCTCCTCTAAAAATTAGCTGTGTCTTATGCTGAGATGTGTCTTATGGAGCAACACTGGATACCTGCTGCAAGTACAGCATAGAGGAAGATTCAATTTATTCAGCAGAATTAAAAACATAGCCAAAGTTCTGCAAACCCACGAGTTTTCCTGAACTGAAACACTGATTGGAAAAGCTGTGGTTTTTGGACTACAACACTATAATCCTCAGTTTGGACTATAAGTCCTAGAATTTAAGAGAAGCAGTTCAAAGACCTGTCCAGGCTCTGGATTCACTGTGCTTCATGACAATTGGTGTGGCCCTGGAAATAATTCAGAAATGTTAAGTGCCCTGTATATACTTATTTTTGCCTCAGCAAATATCGGAATTTGGTGTAATTTCATTTTTAGATGAATCTCTTAAACCAACTTACATTCTAAAGCATGATAGAGTAATTCAAAGTCATCCTTTGTTATCGGGTACATCCTTCGATTATATTCCCTTAGCAGTCTTTTTGCTTGCTCTCTTTCTTTTCTTCGCTCTTCTTCTGCCTCCCATTCTAGTCTCAACCTCAGTTCTTCTTTTAGTTTTTTAACTATATTCTTAGCTAGCCATCGCCGGTGATAGGTTTGTATTACAACTGTCTATAAACAGGAGGTGGGAGTGGGAAAGAAAAAAAAGAGAACAAATATTCTGTATATATCCTAAAAGCACTAATAACATAGTATCTTATATATGTGTTAAACATTACACAGAAATCATACCTATAGAGAAAACTGGCTAGGATTTTCTAGGAAATAGATTACCTGCCAGACTATGAAATGTGTAAATCAAGGGTGGGCAACTGTGTTGCTCCAGAGAATTATGGACACAACTCTCATAATCCATTGGATATCCTGGCTAAGGAACCTAAAAGCTGGGAACTGCCCCTTCTGAGGGGTCCTGCTGGAGTCAAAAGCTTGTGTATTTTTAACAGTTTAGCGGTTAATATATTAGTAGGTACTAGCTACTCTTATTTTTGGATTCTCTACAAGCACTACACTTTATTTTTTATTCTAAATAGATTAACCATCAATAGTAATAACTGCATGCTTGCTTTGAGAACAGTGTTGAGTAGACATTTACAATGGCATGCAACAACATCTAGTACAAAAGTACCCTTACAATCTGACCTTAAATATACAGTATATATATATAAATGTGTATGTTTTGTCATGTTTTTTTCTGCCATTGAACATGCATAGAAGTGAACTGATTAAAGCATTTGAATATTTTGTGGACCATCAGTTCTTAAACCTTACAACCTTAAAGAATATTTTAACTTACTGGGTAAAAAGTTAGAATTTCATTACTACTTACAGCCTTAAGTCGTTTTGCATGGTATTCTTCAGCTGTCACATATTCCTTTGGTTCTATAAGTTTATCAGTAATATTTGATACATAGACACCAATTTTAGTCATCTGGGTGGAAGTTGTATTTCTGGTCTGCTGTAGCCGTCTCTTCTCAACAACTGTCTAAAAACAAAATTATTCATTTTAATTAATTTACTTCTTAAAAATAACCTGTGTTAAAGGCAAAGTTTCTTTCTCTATACAAATTAAAATAAACAAAAAGTGAATGGATAGGTGAATCAGAAAACAGAAGTTCATGTAATTATCTAATATGCTGGATGATACAGTACTTTGTTTCTCAACCACCTTTTTAGCTCATTTTATATTAGCATTTTAATTTATTGTGTTGCAAACATACCTGTGTTGACCTACAGAATTCTTCATATCCTTTATCTGGATGTTTTTTGGGATCTGTCTGAGATCCTGCATTATGGTACTCTGTGCCAGTTAGCTTATGTCTAAAGCCACCCAGAAATGGTTTCTGAAAAGTTGGTCGTTTGATCTCAACATCTACCTCCTGAACTGTGTCTGAATCTGTTCAGATAAAAACAGTGTGATTAACTTACACACAGGATAATATAAATAACACGTGTGATTAGACTAAGGTAGAATGCATATTTGAGCATCACTCTGTACCTGTTTGTACTCTAACAGTTATAACATCAGCCATGTAGAATTCATGTAGGAGTTTATGTGCCTGAATTGGAAAGTTGTCTTCATCAAGAGAAAACAAATCAACTTGGATAGTGCCATTAGGCCGAGCCCCGAGCCTCCACAGGGTTTCATCATTTTCGATTATTCTCCCTAAAAACAAATATTATTAAGGTCATTAGGTTTCACATCAAACAGAAAGATCAAAAACTTCTTTACCTAGACAGGGATAAAATAAGGATGGCATGCACATTCAGGGAAAATCCATACTGCTATCATCCCAAAATGGGCTTTTATCATGTAGAAATTGCACAAAGCCCCCTCTTTCATCTTGTAAATAATAAACTGGGGTTCTGAAAGGATGCTGTCAGTCCAGATACTGTGTGATAATGGTTCTTGTTGTTTACGTTGTGTCGGTCTTTTCATGACCCCATGGATCAGAGCATGCCAGCCCCTCCTGTCTTCCACTGCCTCCCGAAGTTGGGTCAAATTCATGTTGGTAGCTTCGATGACACTGTCCATCTCGTCCTCTGTCCTCCCATTCTCCTCTTGCCTTCACACTTTCCCAACATCAGGGGCTTTTCCAGGGAGTCTTTTCTTCTCATGAGATGGCCAACGTATTGGAGCCTCAGCTTCAGGACCTGTCCTTCCAGTGAGCACTCAGGCTTGATTTCCTTCAAAATGAATAAGTTTGTTCTCTTTGCAGTCTGGGGGACTCTCAAGAGTCTCCTCCAGCACTACAATTCAAAAGCATCAATTCTTTGGCAGTCAGCCTTCTTTATGGTCCAGCTCTCACTTCCATACAACACTACAGGAAAAACCATAGCTTTGACTATGTGGACCTTTGTTGGCAAGCTGATCTCTCTGCTTTTTAAGATGCTGTCGTGGTTTGTCATCGCTTTCCTCCCAAGTAGCAAGCATCTTTTAATTGCATGACTGCTGTCACCATTTACAGTGATCATGGAGCCCAAGAAAGTAAAATCTGTCACTGCCTCCGTATCTACCCCTTCTATTTGCCAGGAGGTGATGGGCCCAGTAGCCATTATCTTAGTTTTTCTTTTGTTTTGTTTTTTAATGTTAAGCTTCAGACCATTTTTGGCATTCTCCTTTTTCACCCTCATTAAGAGGTTCTTTAATTCCTCCTCACTTTCTGCCATCAGAGTGGTATCACCTGTATATCTGAGGTTGTTGACATTTTTGTGACAATAGCAACTGGGGGCAAAAACCAGTGCAACAACATTGCTCCTAATTAGCCCTTGGTGGATTGACAGCTCCCATGCTTTCCTTAATCAATTTTGCAATTCAGGCTGTACCTCAGAAAGTTTGCCAGAGGATTCTTTTAACACTGTTATCATCATCTTCATTTGCATTTGCACTATCATCTCCTTCTGGGAATATATCACAATTACATTTACAGATCTAGAGAAAGACACAGAGATGCTTCCTGGTAGGTGATACATACCTAGCAACATAATCTGTAAAAAGTTCAGTGGTATTTTTAGTCGTGTTACAAAGTATTGTTTGATATGCTCCACAGTTCGGTTAATGGCAAAATCCTTAGTGAAAATCTGGATGTCAGGATGCAGCATGAATTTAACTGAAAAACAAACAAATCCATCTATGACCTATTTCTTCAACAACTTGGACAACTATTTTAGAACTAAATATTAGTAACTGCATTTTGAAGGCAATTGATTCTACATACACTGTTATGAGCTGAGGTTTTCCATTTCTCTTTGTCATCTACCCTGAGTATTTAAAGCACACTTTAATGTTCTAGTTATGTGCTGTCAAGTCATCTCTGATTTATGGTGACCCTACGAATAAGCAATCTGCAGAATGTCCTGTTTTCACCTGTCCAGCTCAGCTCTTGTAAACTCAACCCTATGACTTATTTTAAAGAAACTGTAGGGAGATATTTTCATACAACAAATTAAATAACATGTTAAAATCAACATTTACTTTTAAGATTTAATTTTTTAATACAGCTGTTAGAATGTTATGTAATAATATTATATTATAGCAACAAGAACACCAACAAACAATACCACCATCAAATGAATGATTATATATAATCCTTTGGATGCTACTATTTTCAGAAAGAATTATTCTGTGTACATAATCGCATACTGTGTGCCCAAAGTAGACCACCTAGATATGCACAGTACTCAAAATCCCTTTGCACAGAGAAAATACACCATATCCATCAAATCAATGGAGAAGCTTTTGCTTATGCTGAGAGCTTTGTACAGGCATGCAAAATGCATAGACATGCAAGAGAACATAAGCATCTTATATTGCAATCCAAACCATGTTCCCCGAAAAGTAAACCAAAGGTGCTTATTCTCTAGTGATACAGTTTAAGTATGTTAAGATGATCTCAGGCACCTTTGTTAAGATTTCTCACCTGTAATGTTTCTGAAACAGGGGGTTTCAACAGTGACACCAAAACTGTAGTTAAGATGCTCTCAGCCACCTTTGTTGAGATTTCCCACCTGTAATGTTTCTGAAACGGGGGGTTTCAACAGTGACACCAAAACTGTATCTTTTAGGGTCTGCAAGAATTGAGCAGGATTGTAAATGACAGTACTATCTGGAGGCCACTAGTTCATAGGGTCAGCACAAGTTTGAAATTACTTGATCGCACATAATCGCACGGACTGTCATACTAATAATAACTGCATGCCATCAAGTCAATTCTGACTTATGGCAACCACTTTCAGGACTTCCCAGGTAAGGAATACTCAGAAATGGTTTACTATTCTCTTCTTCCTGGGGCAACCTGGGACTGTGCCTCTTGCCTCTTCTCCCAGGATGCACAGTGGGGAATTGAACTCCCAACCACAGCCAGATATCTAAACCACTGAGCTGTCCAGCCGGCTGTCATACTACTTACATTAAAAAGTACTGGGAGTCTTGCTGGCTAAATGGCAGGATATAAATGCTTTAAATGAATGAGTAAGAAAACACAGAAATGAGAAAAGTTACTTTCTGGATGACTATTATACGTAGGTGAAAACTAAATGCAAATGGAAAGTAAAAAAAAAAAGACCAAAAAAAGAGGTGGCACCTTAAAAACTAAATTTTATGGTTGTTGTGGGTTTTTCGGGCTCTTTGGCCATGTTCTGAGGGTTGTTCTTCCTGACATTTTACCAGTCTCTGTGGCCAGCATCTTCAGAGGATTGGAGTAGGAACATCAGAAAGAACAACCTTCAGAACACGGCCAAAGAGCCCGAAAAACCCACAACAACCATTAGATCCCGGCTGTGAAAGCTTTCGTGAATACAACTAACTTACGTATTTTTTAATGTGAGCTTTTGTGCATTTTATCCAACATAAGAGTACACTACTTAGGATGACAACTCCCAAAATAATCCAGCTAGTGTGGCCCAGTGGCTTTGCTAGTTGGAGTTCTTGTCAAAAAGTAATTTTTTTCATGCATGAGAAAGCAGGAAACAAGCTGGATTATGACAACATAGTAATGATAGTAAGAAAGGCAGCAGTGGCCATTTACTATAGCCAACAAACTGTATACCTGTTACAGTAGGGTCTCTTATAATTTCTGGAAACTCTGTTTTCTGACTTGCCAAATTTTCCATTAAGCCATATGCTGCAAAGTGAAGATGTTTTTCTGAAACACTTTCAGCAGCATCTGGGGTTGTTTCAATTATCGGGGCACCTGTGCCATCTTCAGTTGGCTTAATTTCAACAGCAGGTTCTTCGACCTGTGAAATATCTTTCTGAACCTCTGGGATTCCATCTTGGGTTTCTGTATGGGATTCTTCTTCTTCTTTTTGCCCTGCATTGAACGCCTCCAGAAGTTCCTTGGCAACAGTCAGTCCCTGAACTTGTTCCTCATCAGCAGCTGGGCTTTGAGCCAGATCCCTAACAGGGGTTGGCTCCTGGGTACCATCAGGTCCTTGGGCTGGTTCCTCAGCAGTGGCAAGGCCATCAACTGATTTCTCAGCAGCATCTGGATCCTGCACTGCTTCTTCAGCAGTGGCCTGTTCCTCAGCAGTCTTCCGTTCCTCCACCAATTCCTTGGTGGCATCTGATTCACCAGTTGCCACATCTGAGGCTTGTTCCTCTTTTATAGGCAAAGTAGCTTCATCCAACTCTGCTACCCCTATCTGCTCTTCTTCAGTGCCTATAGAATCTGTTTGTTTCGTTTCAGAGGTGTTCTCTGTACTTTGCTTCTCAGCATCTGCTATATCCAGGTCATTTCCTTCCTTTGCTGGGTCAGCCATCTCCCTAAAAAAAGAAGTTCCTATCTTTAATTTTCACCCAAGAAAGACAAAAACACAAAGTACTGTACAAGATAATGTGGTTTCCAATTTAGAATTAGGCCTCATTCCATATTACTGGCTGTCCTGTTTACTGTTCAACAAAAACTACAAGTAGAAAACTCTCTAGACAAACCACACCCAACCCTGAAAATCTGTCAGATTGTATATTGATTTATATTTCAGCATATTTTAATAATTTAGGATAAATTACGGTAGCTAAATCCTACTGGGCTTTTATGTGGCATAATTCAGTTAATGGAAATCCCAGTGATGATTGTGTACGTTGTGGTGCAGTGGTTAAATTGCAGTACTGCAGTCAAGACTCTGCTCACAACCTGAGTTCAATCTTAATGAGCTCAATACACTTGAGGCCGATTCAGCCTCCCATTCTTCTGAGATCGGTAAACTGAATATTTAGCTTGCAGGGGCAGGCAATGTGTATCCTGCATAATTAAATTGTAGATAACCCAGAGAGTGCTTTAAGCAGCATGGGGTGGTATATAAGCAGAACACTTTGCTTTGCTTTTAATTGCAGCAAGTTGATTACGGAATCATAGGATAATGAAGTTCGAAGGGGGCTATAAGGCCATCGAGTCCAAGCCCCTGCTTATTACAGGAATACAAATCAAAGGATATCTGCCAGGTAGTTGTTTAAATTTCTCTTGAATGCCTCTAGTGTTGGAACACTTGATGAGTTAATGAAGGCATTTGCAATTGAATGACTTCATGTGTTATTACAATACTGCTGTCAGTTTTGTCTCTCCGCATTGTTATACAGTAAGACCCCTGTATCTACAGGATCCATATCCACAGTTTCACTTATCCACAGCCTGAAAATATTGAAAATATTAGAAGAAACAAATTCCAAAAAAAAGATTTTCATATGTGTTACTAGAACTGGCCATTAGAAGGAGCAAGAAACTGCTGTGAATACTTGGTGAAGATTACATAGGATGCTCACTGGCACCCTCTAGTAGACAGTTCTGGTAATGAATGTAAAATATTTTTAGTTTTTTCCCCCTTTTACCATGCCATATATATAGTGTTCACTATTATCTGCAGTGTTCAGTATCCACAGGGGGCTTGGATGCAATCCCCTGTGGATATGTGGGTCCTACTGTACTCTGTAGAAGCTTGCTTTCTAATTTTACTTTCTTAGATCATCTTGTTTTTGCTTAAGCATAGTTAACCCAGGATGAAGATGTTGGGCCCCTTTGAGGCATCTGCCAGAGCTGATATTCTTTCTGTCTTTCTGTTAAGATAAAGGTGATGACTTCCTTTAGCTATAATCAGCCAGGAAAAATCTAAAGAATGTATGCAAGGGCTTTTAAGACTGTTAGACAACTATAACCAACACCCACACACTTTTTTCATATCTTCCTCACCCATTCAATACACTATGTGTTATTGGAAAAAGCTCTTCCTGACATGACTGTTGGGGGCAGTCATGATGCTATATAAGGATCTAAAAGCATATGTTCAGGCAGCTCCCCCCCCCACACACACTTTTCTTTCTTAAACTTTCTGAAGTTTTTGCTGCCAGCTTCTCTCTTTGTTTGTAGACTTCTGGATGAATTTATTGACCACAGCTGTCTTTCTGATCCCACTGGGCCACGAAACTATAGTGGTTGACCATAATCTCAACAAATACCTACACCAATTTTTTTCTTGCAGTGTGCCACCAATACTTACACCACCTGCAGGTGGGCTTAACAAATAGGATTATAGTCGTTTTTGTTCTAAGGTAAAGGTAAAGGTTCCCCTTGACAATTTTTGTCCAGTCGTGTTCGACTCTAGGGGGCGGTGCTCATCCCCGTTTCCAAGCCAGCATTTGTCCGAAGACAATCTTTCGTGGTCACATGGCCAGTGCGACTTAGACACGGAACGCTGTTACCTTCCCACCAAGGTGGTCCCTATTTGTCTACTTGTATTTGCATGCTTTCGAACCGCTAGGTTGGCGGGAGCTGGGACAAGCGACAGGCGCTCACTTCGTCGCATGGATTCGATCTTACGACTGCTTGGTCTTCTGACCCTGCAGCACACAAAGGCTTCTGAGGTTTAGCCCGCAGCACCACCACAGCCCCTCCATTTTTGTTCTAATCACTAAATAAATGAATAAATAAATAAATAGTGCTTAAAACTGCAGCCTATGTAAAGCTTCTCAGACTGTAAAGCTTCTCAGACTTACTTTTGGAGTAAGTTTCAAGATCTTCTTTCTTGTTTTTATCTTACACAACATAAAAAGTAGGAAGTCAGTATTTAAAAACTTACTGTAGCTCTCATTAAAACTGTTATCTTAATTGGCATACTTGCTCCTAGCAATCTCTTTTCTATTGGTATCAGTACATTTTAAGAGGGCAACTGCAACTCAGTTCAGTACACAGCAATAATTAAATTTAGAAAATTATGTCTGAATAAGAAAGGATATCTTTAGGATATCTTTGGAAAGTTCTGAGAACATATGAAGCACTATAAAAATCTTACTGAAGGAAATTTAGATTTAATGCACGGTACAGCATAATGTTGGTTCACTTTATTTCTGATTTCTTATCTTACAAAGCAATATTTTGTCCTGGTCCCAGCCACATTCAACAGACTGTTATAAGCACATACTACAGTATCAAATATATTTTAAAGTTAAAGTAAATGCTTTTTAAATTCTACAGTTATGCAAGATGATTGAATGTAAAGTGGTAGCTTGGAGATAAACAGCTTTTGAAATTTTGATGTATTGCAAGATGCAGAGAATTTCAAGACTCATAACATGCAGAAAGCTTGAACACTTCCTTTAGTTATATAATGAAAAATAAAAGAACAGATTGTTACAGTTGATAATTCAGAGAAAAACCTTCTTGGCTGAAGAACCTGGCAGATTGGTAGATGGAACTCAACATCACCCTTTAAAGCTATTTGTCCAAACTCAATTAAGTCAGGATAACATCCAACTTCCAGCAATGCAGATGCAAAATGATCCTGAATACTCAAAAGCTCTTCAAACTTGAAATACTCCTAGAACTGATTTACTGACAAGGATCAACATAGCTACCTGAGTTTTTGAACCTTTTGGCCAGTGAAGATATGAGAGCTGACACAAAGAGCATTTGCACAGCAAAATTTAACACTACGTTGCCACTAAGATGCTATATGAAATAAATGCTGTCACCTCCCACAAGAATATGTCAGTCATATACTGAACCTGCCCACCATTCTCAATGTCAAGTGCTTGGAGAGTACAGTAATTAACTACAATTATTTTTCCAAGAGTCCCACAAAGTAATTTTCAGCCACTGTGACTGAAAGATTCTGTTCTGAACGATCTTCTTTGCATTACAACCTCTGTGCAAGAATCATTGTGTCACTGTTGATAGATCACAGTGATTGACACATCACATCTCTTCGAAAATGCACCAAAAATCATCATTATGATTCTTTTATGCGACTCGTCGGCAAGTTGCATAACTCTGTTGTGAAGCCACGGTTCCGATGACAGGAGAAGGAGCGTTCACGAAAGAAAGTTAAACAAACATTGCCTTTCATTCTGGGGAAAACTACACCTGCTGAAGTTCCACCTGTTGTAAGCACCAATCTAAGTCACAGGAAATCCCTCCACCTAGATGGCAACCCCTTATCCATCGTTGGAATGCAGCAGAACCAAAACGCCCTCCCAACTGAAATTCGCCTGGCGCCGACACTGATGATATTTCGGCGCCAGGTCAAAACCTTCCTGTTCCAGAAGGCTTTTAATTGAAATAACATTAACTGTGGGTCTTAATGATGGCAATTTTAATTGTATTTTTAATTGTATTTTAATTGTATTTTAACTGTATTTTAATCATTTTATTTTATTGCATTGAATTTTAATTGTTGTAAGCCGCCCAGAGACCTTTGGGTGGAGTGGGCGGCATATAAATTAAATAAATAATAATAAATAAAAACACAACCTTCCCCTCATTATTACACACCAACACACCAATCTGAGCCAGTCAAGCAGTGTCTCGCGATCTTCAGCTCTCCCGAAGACACATGCCCTATCTGAGGACTACAGTTCCCAAGATGCATCACGCGACTGTTTGGTCTTGCAAGAGGAGAGGTGGAAAGCTATTCATTCCTCCACCCCCGTCTCGGCCGCCCCGATAAAGATGTCAAAAGGCAGCTGTCGCGCACAGCACACTGGGAATTGTAGTCATGGATTCAAATAGCCGCATAAAAAACTTTTTCTTGCAGTTCTGTCTCCACCTCTTCCCAAATTTTCTCCCCTCCTAGTCGAACGAAAAAAAATAATACATACTTTAAGAAGCCAAACGTGTTTACCTCAATTCTAGGATGTCGCCGATGCTTCCCGAAGCAACTAGAGCCCGGCCGTATGCCCCGGCCCGGGGTAGGAACGAGCGTCGCTGTTGCTGCAGCAACCAGGACGCGGCGAAATCTCGCGATACCAACCGTCTCCAGAAAGAGGAAAAATGGATTGTAAACCTTCCCCCCCCCTCAATACCCTGGGAGGGAAACCGCAGACTATGCTCGATTGCTGACCACTATATAGGGACGTGGAAACTGGGCAGTGAAAAAAAAAAGGTGGCTGGGGAAAAATAAGAATAATTCCAAATGTTATTACAGGTAAAAACAAAATAATTAAAAAAGAACAAATAAAAAAGACAAATAAGTGGTGGCACCTGTGAAATGCGGATTTGGATGAATGTTTTAGAGCAGTGGGTTTTTTTTAATTTTTATTTTATTTATTTATTTGATTTGTATCCCGCCCATCTGGTCTATGCGACCACTCTGAGCGGCTTCCAATATAATTGGTGTTCTTGGACTGCAACTTCCAGAAACCCTGGTTAGTACAGCAAGTGGTGAAGACTTCTGGGAATTGCAGTCCAGGAACATCTGGGGACCCCAGTTTGAGAACCACCATTTTAGAGAGATCAAAAGTGGGTTCAAGCCTGAATTCTTGTTAGAAGCAAACAAAATGACTAAACTGAGGCTATGGTACTTTGGACGGTTCATGAGGAGCCAAGAGACTCACAGGGAAACACACTAATGGCTTGATGAGTGGAATGCAACAGAAAAAGCAGAAGAGCAGGTAACAGATGAATCCACTAATAAACCATCACTTCATGTTTACAAAGCTACTGCAGAGAGAACCTTCTGGAGGTCACTAATAACTTCGAAGCAACTTGATGGCTCACAACAGCACCAGGCAGAAAAGGGATCTTTGCCCCACAGAACATTACCACTGACCATAGTGGTGGGGGCTTCTGGGAGCTGAGGGGCAAAGTTTCCCCACTCTGCTTTGGAAGATGAGTAGCTCAGAGACTTACAACTCTTGCACTAGGATTAAACAACTGCAATTTTCCCAACAGCAATCACAAAACTGCCAAACATAGGTAGCTGTACGTAGCCACCACTGAGTGTGGACTAGCCAGGATTAGTTTTGCCTACTGCACAAAGCATGTTTAAAATGAACGGAGCATGTCATGATGACGGTTTTGCATGTGCAGCCAACACACATCCTCACAGGGAGTAATGCTTACCACAGTGCTATCTATACTGCCCTCTAGTGGATTTTCTTGTAAGTTATGCTTTACTTTTATTTTTGCTTTATTTTTATAACTACATTTGTTATAAGAGACACAGTGTGGTGCAGTGGATAGAGTAATGGATTAGGACTCCTGTGGCCAGAGTTCAAATCCTCACTTAACCATGGAAACTCACTGTGGAAGTGGAACTGGTAAAATCACTACTTAAATATGTCATTTAACTTGAAAGCCCTATTAGGGTCACTATAAGTTGGTTCTGACTTGACAGTACATATTTTTGTTATATTTCTGTTTTGTTTGTTTTCACAACAGACGACTATTTACAGACCCAAGCAACCACTGAACTATTACTTCACTATGAGTGGTGTGTAAACATGTTATATTTTATAAATGTTTATACATCACTCATAGTGAAGTAATAGTTCAGTGAAGTAATAGTTTATATGTACTGTATATCGATGAAGACTGCTGCTTGTCTTTGTGCTATTGCTTGTTTAAGAACGGAGAGCAGTTTTCAGCAGCAAGCCATCAGGCCACAGTCAGCATTATGGGTCACCTCTGGAAAAGGTTTATCTAATCATGAAAAATAAAGGGAGAACAGAATCTATATTCCAGAGGAAAAAGCCTACTTTACAGAAAGTAACAGGCACTCCTTCTCTCTTGATATAGGCAGGATGGCATTACTCCTTACCCAGAGGAATACAGGATTAAAATAGGCCTGCCTCTGGGAAAGAGTAATTGCCATCAGTACAAATTGTGGAAAATATATGATGAAACCATCACTTGACAGCTATATACTACAGGCTAGCTGGATAGCTCAGTGAGTTAAGTATTTGGCTAGAGGTTGAGAGTACAATTCCCCAGAGTGTGTCCCAGAAAAGCCAGCTTGTGTGGCCTTGGGCAAGCTGCACAGTCCCAGGATGTCTGCAGAAGAAGGGAATGGTAAACCATTTTTGAGTACTCTCTACCTAGAAAACTCTGAAAAGGGTCACCAGAAGTCAGAATTGACTTGACGGCACACAGTTATTATAATCTACAGAACTATTTCTCATGTTAAGTCCATTATTCATGCATAGATTCTAGTAAAACATTCAGGATCCTGGTTTTGCTACACTCTCTACTGAATGCCAATGCATTTTAATGTGGCAGTCCAAGTAATGGGAGGCCAGTGTGCTCCTTACAGTAATAGAGTCTGCTCCCTCCAATGAATCAAATACATGCCCTGTACTGTTATAACACCAGGAAAGAAACCTCTACTATTCCTGTGGGGAAGCCTCCAAATGCCGATATCCACACAGGAACAGTGAATGCATTCTGAGATCCACTCCTATGCTGTGGTATAGTTACAGTGATCGTCCAAATAATATTCAGGCAGGAAAAAAGTCCAGTCAGGAGGCACTAAAGATGTCCAGCATATATTTAATGATGGTTTCCCAGTTTGTGTTGCCATTATTCCAGAAGCTAGAATGGTGCTACTATACTGGCCACTTCCACTGGTCAGCTGGAGGTTCTTCTACCAAAGGCTCCCATGGTTTCCACTGTACCATTTTCCTGGCCAGACTGAGTTCACTTTGTGCCTATTGACAAAATATGATTTTACTATAAAATGCTATCAAAGATGTAACACCAATATTACATAATGGAGCTTTTAATTATAATTTCCAAACTACTTTACCATCATATGAAACCTTAAAACACCCATTAGATCCACTAATTACATATTAAAATACAGCTTTTCTTTGAACCAATCCTTATTAAACTGTCTTATGAGTACAACACGATATGACTGTACATGTTCTATTAAATGACTAGTCCCAGTCCAGAGAACTGTAAATACATCAACAGGTTGTATATCCAGTGCTGCACCTCAGGTTTGGGAAAGCCTATTTATAACATCATAATGGGCTAATGTGAGAATATTATACTTTTGGTAATTTAAAAATCAATACAAGACTTACTCCTTTGAGACTGAGAGGTGGTATAGATAGTTTTTGTTACGTGTGTGTGTGTGTGTGTGTGTGTGTGATAACTATGTTCAAAAAGAAAGAAATATCATTTCACTTTATTTTATATGCACCTTATTAGGATGCAACTGAAAGTCTGTTACCTAATTTTAGTGCCGAAATACAGTCTTCACCAACAGCTAACAGAACTGCTTTATTAACAGCAAGGTACAGTGACTCTCTTATCATAAGAATGGCTTGGTTACTATAGTTTGAACTACCTTCATGAAAAGTAATGCTGGCTCTTGCCACTGATGAGCATTCTTTGAATCAATTATGCAAGATTCTTATTCCCCCCCCCTGCCCATTTCTCACTGTGCCATATAAAACCTGGCTCCAGAAGGCTTCCCTGCTCTGTAGCACAGGTTCTGGGGATACAAAGAAGACTTCACTGAGGAGACTTTGGCCCTCCTAGTTCTGTTAGCAAAAGAAGATTCACAAGCAGTAGACATAACCTTTGGATTCTGGCACTATCTAACAAAAAGCGCACAGAAGCTGCAATTCCGTACACACTAACTTAATTCATGTAGGACTGGATTATGAATATTATTGCTAGTATTACGGTGGTACCAAATATCTCATCATATTGCACTGTGTAAGAGAGGTTGAACATATCAACAATAAACGGAGTTTAAATTCCCTGAAAGGTAGGTGGTGGGAGGCATAAAAATAAAAGCAATAGTAATCTTTCAGAAATCAGTACCGTGGTGCCTCGCTTGATGAGGATATGAGTTTAAATTCCCTGAAAGGTAGGGGGTGGGAGGCATAAAAATAAAAGCCATAGTAATCTTTCAGAAATCAGTACCGTGCTGCCTCGCTTGACGAGGATAAACTGTTCCAGCGAAATTGCTGTAGAGCGAAATCCTCGTTAAGCGAAATAAAAAATTGAAATGCACTGAAAACCAGTTCAATGCGTTCCAATGGGCGAAATACCTCAGCGTCCAGCGAAGATCCTCCATAGGGCGGCCATTTTCCGATGCCTATGCAGCGAAAAATCTGTCCTGAACATAGTGGGGAGCCATTTTGAACAGCCGGAGACCATTTTGAAAACCCAACGATCAGCTGTTTTGAGCGTCATAATGCGAAGAATCAGTTCCCGAAGCAGGGAACTGACCGCCACAAAGTGGATTTTTCCCATTAAAACATTGTTTTGCGATTGCAATAGCGATCGCAAAAACATCGTCTTGAAGCGGATTCATCATCAAGCGGGGTAATCGTTAAGCGGGGCACCACTGTATATTAATTGGATACTTGAAATTCCTTTTATTTTTAGTATACTACAGCCTATAGTTGCCCCAGTCAAGAAAACAATGTGAACTTTGCTAAGTGCTGTACATTTTACCTGCAAAATCACTTCCTCTATTTGTCCACAATTTATTTTATTCTCCAGTTTTTCTATATTGGGTTCCTGCAAGTTCAAAAACAAATCAAAGTATTAGATGTGTTCCACAGTACATACAAGCAATATATTCAAGCCTAGAGTGGTTGAAATGACTAGATAGGCGGGGTATAAATACAATAAATAAATAAATTAATAAATAAATATTCCTATGTTTCAGACTGAACTAAGAATAGCCAAAAGGAAAGCATAGTGATACATTAGAGCCAGAGGTGGGGTTTTCAATTCCTCACTGTGATTCCTATGAAGTACAGCCTGCCTGTGGACAAGCTGCATGGTCCCAGAAGAAGGGAATGGTAAACCACTTCTGAGTGTTCTCTATCTCGAAAACCTGAAAAGGGTTGCCATAAGTCAGAATTGACTTGATGGTTCATGATTACTGTATATGTAAAATATATTCATGCATATTTTTGCTCCTGGAAGGCCAAGTTAAGTAAGCTTCTTTCTCATCCAAGGTTTTCATTCTTGAAAACCCTGAAAAGGATCACGAGGAGTCGGAAGTGACTTGATGGCACATGATGATATGATGAATTACAAGGTCGCAATTTAACATACTATTTTGACAGCTGCATCACACTGAAAACTTTTCTTTATGATAATAAAAAAAATGAAACAAATATAATGAAAGTAGTTGAATCACTTAAACTGAGATCCTTAAAATGTACCATGTACTTACTGTTTTTACCAAATCAAACCGATCATTTATGATCTTCTCTGTATACTTCCTATATGCTGCATCTCTGGGGATATTGTTGAGAGCAGCAAGAATTTTTGTGTAGAGTACCTTGAGGTGCTGAAAAAAATTATGTGAAGCTCTAATCAAACACAATTTAAAATGAACTGTTCAAATTTATGACTGTGAAAACAGAGCAGAAATGACTAAAGTTCACAACTACAAGAAAAACAGCCCTTGACGTTAAAGTCTTGGCAATCCGACATGCAAAGGATTGAAAAAAGTTTGTATGGAATTGTTTAATGTTCCACATTCCTAAATGTAGTACATGTCAAAGAAACATTGGCTGAAATCCTGTTACTTAGTGTAGTAAATCAACATAAAATAGACCTATTTGAATCAATGGAACTTATGAAGGAGTTGATTCACCATACCTATACTGATTCAATGGACCTGGAGTACTTGTGACTTACTACGTAAGCTACAGAAATACAGCCAATGTTTTATTAAAAACTTTATTAATCAATGTTTTATTAAAATCTAACATTCAAAAGCCTATTCTGATCAAAAGCCCTAACAGCTTCCCACAGATCCTAGTAAACATTCCTGCCTTCATTTCCTTAGCATCCAATTAATGCACAATAACACAATGCCTTATTATGTCACATCTGGGTTACCGCAGTGAGTTTTATGTGGAGTTGGTTTTGGAAAGTGTGAAGAAATTTCAATTTAGAATATGTACTAGTGTAGTGGACCAATTATTAATTCAAGGTCATCAGTGTCTCTTTCTGGAGAGGGGAAAAAAACTTCATTATCTGCCAATTTGTTTCCAAGGCTAATTCAAAGTGATGGCAAATATCCTGGAAACCAAGATACATGTAGGACAGACTGCCTGTTCATTAAAATCACTGGGGAAACTCTCTTGGACATTCCAAATATAACCTAAATATGTTATATTTAAGCCCAGGGAGAGGGTTTGTTGATGGTAGCACTTAGGCTCTGGGATTCCTTCCATTAAGAAACACCCTTCTTCTTTTGATAGCTCATTAATTTCTGAAGAAATTGCAAAACAACAGTACTCATGGGCACTTACGATAGCTCATTCATTTAAATTTCTGAAGAACTTGCAAAACAACAGTACTCATGGGCACTTAATAGCAGTTTTGAAACTTCCACATACAAACAAAAAAAGTTGACCAGGTAATACATCATAAACAAAGAGAAGGCGAACTGGATGTCTTAGAAAAGACATTCCGCTTTGGACACTTTCACTGCCTTCTCCCACATCTCAACAAACCATGTCTTCACTACTATGACAACACAGATAGAAGCCTCTTCATCAACTCTTCAAGAGTATGCAGGCCTACTATGATACTCTACTGCATAGCTACAATATTTCATTCTAGGGTTTTGGATTGCATGGAGTTCTAATTATTCTGACATTTCGTTTTTTTGGTGGTCGGGGTTGGAATATAGGAATTTTATAATGGCACTTTCTTTTTCTCTTAGATCATGTGCTTTAATTGGTACTCTTTTCTTCTTGATGATTTTAGCTCCTTTATTATTTCTTATATTTCATTATCATTTGTCTTGAATCTTTTACACATAACGAAATTTAAATGGCATAAATAAATAAACAGTTGTGATGCACTGCTCATTTTATGATGACCTAGATCAGTGGATGCAAATCTTTTTTGGCTCAAGTGCCCAAAATGAGGAGGTGGGGAAGAAACCAGTGGCTGCTGTGCCACCCGGAAGACCAGAACCAGAACAGGAAGTGGCAGTTTCAGGGGGAATCATGAGAACGGACAGGAAGCTAAAGGGGGAATCATGGGGACGGACAGGAAGTTAAAGGACCCAGAACAGGAAGAGAAAGGGGGAGTCCCAGCTGCAGCCACTTTGAAAGGTTTGTTCCCACAAGGGAGGGAGGGTGAGCCGCCCCAGCTGCAGCCACCCTTTGTTCCCACAAGGGAGGGAGGGTGAGCCACTCACTCGCGTGCCAGAAGAAAGGGTTCACCATCACTGACCTAGATTCTTGACAGTGATTGGTGTTCAGACAGATTTACATATAAACAAGCAATCTGAAAAAGCTCTGGAACCCAAGCCATCTTAAGACCATTATGTTGTCATGCTTGGAAAGACACAAGGAACCAGGGAATCTGTTAAATCTGTTTTTTCAGTGCTGGCAATATGAGATCCAACTAACCCTTGCCATTCAGCATCCTAGCTGCTGCAGTTTGAAACAACTTATATTTCAGAGAGGTCTGAAGGAGCAGTTCCATGTGCAGTGCACTACAATTACTAACCTTGGACATTATCAATATAGGAATAAATATGGCCAGGCTACCTCTATGTGGAAAGACTCATCATTGGCACATCATTCTACACTGGCAAAAAGTGCAAGTTCAATTCAGTTGGACTTGCAAACTAAGATGCAGAACTAATCTTTTTCCAAAATTGTCCACCAAAGCACTGAGATTTGCCTGTCACTGTTAAGTAAAAACATTCTTTTTATTCACGAAGGCTTTCACGACCAAGATCTAATGGTTGTTGTGGGTTTTTCGGGCTCTTTGGCCATATTTTGAAGGTTGTTCTTCCTAATGTTTTGTCAGTCTCTGTGGCCGGCATCTTCAGAGGACAGCAGAGAACCAGAGCGCAGTGCTGTCCCCTGAAGATGCCGGCCACAGAGACTGGCAAAATGTTAGGAAGAACAACCTTCAGAACACGGCCAAAGAGCCAGAAAAACCCACAACAACCAAAAACATTCTTTGTTCACCAATGCATTTTAACTCACTATATGAACTTGCTTTATGATGTTCCCTGTTCTTTTAGTGTTTTAGCTATTTGGATCCCTCCACCTTATTATTCTGTTTGTACCTTTTCCCCTCAAGGAATTCTGATAAACGAGTGCAGAAATGCAGAAGTACTAAAATGCAATCTATAACTTCATTAAACCCACCGTGTTATTTATATCTATATTTATTGTGGCCAAAATCCTATTAACCATTTACACATACCTAAGTGAAATCAAGTAAATCAGTGGTGAACTGCACCTAATAAACTAGGTGTCAGCTGCATTTCTGGCCATGCAATGAGCATTCAAGCAGGAATGTGACAGGCATCTTGTTAATTAACAATAATTTGTCACTTTGGCGTACATATTTTTACTTACACACGTATAAATTCCTATCAGGATGCAACAAGTCTACAACATGTACATTCTAAATCCAGCCACTCTACAGGGGGTCATAAATTTATTTCTGAATTATCGGTTTCAGCTAAACAAGTAGTGTTTTTTTTCCCTCACCTCATGTGGATTCTCAGCTACAGCTACTCCCACAAGTCCAGTGGTCTGTAGAGATCAAAAAGAGATTAAGGATATATATATATTAAATAAATAAGAAAGCCAACATATATTTAATAAGTACAATTTATATTTTTAAAATGTAAATCAGACAATTATATTTGTTTTTAGATAAATAATCTACAGTATCAATTACATTTGCGTATGGATAGAGCTAATGTACCTTCAAGGACAAACTGTTGTGGAATACAACCAACCAGTGGTTTACTGAAAGTATTCAACTAACCAATTCATTAAAAACTTCATCTCTATAAGTGAACAAACAAATCTGCTTCGATATCAATAATTTCTCAGCCTTTCCCCTTAAAAAATGCTTAAATATCAATTAGAAACCACAAAAGTTGCTCTGTGGCAGCCATGGCATATTAATCAGAAATTCACAAGTATCAACACATTATGGGACCACCATCGATAATCTTTGATCTATTCTTGCACACAACTTTAAAAGGTGCTTATAAACTTCTAAAATAACAATATCCCCACATGCTTAACTTCATCTGTATTGACTACCTGCCCAGTAAAATGATCATATACCGTATGTGAAACAAACAACTTCACAGTTGTATCATATATGCAAAACAAACAACTTCGCAGAACAGTCCCTATGGATGGTATAACCAAGTGCCTCAGACACCCTTGAACATTCAAAGTAACATGAGTCTAAGGGTTGATCTGACTCCAGTAACCATGAGAAGTGGATCCACACAGATGCCAATATACACACATAAGATCTGATAAAAGGGGAATCTTTACTTGTCCAAGACACTCCATCATGTGGAGGATCTCCATGTGCATGCATAAGGATACACACAGAGCCCCAATCTCATGGGCTTTGCATGCTCAGATGATGGGGAGCACTGGTACTGGATGCACTGGGATATGGGCAAGTAGCCATCTCAGTTGCCAAAACACATATTATCGGTGTGTAGCAAAATGGCCCAGGCTATAAACAATCAATCAAGGATGTCAGGATGGGTTTTTTAAAAGCTAAGCAATCCTCTCCTCCAGTAAAAAAAAAAAAATCTCAAATTTAAAGCACGAATTTATTGTACACGGTTAATGGCACCCAAAACATGCCACCTAACGGAAGAAGGAAACTATACATGTCCAAGACTGCAAGGTAAATTGTCAAAAGGCATCCCTTGCAAGATTTCCGCTCTGGGGGAGATACAGCGAAGATATTTCATCCACTTCAAAAATCGGATGGACTAAAACACGTCCTGTCATGTAGGGAAGATGCAAGCAGTTTCTTGGAAGTGGCTGGGGTGCCTGTTTGTTTGGGAGGCTGCCAAAGGGGGACATGAGATCAAGCGGGTGCTTGGGGGTCGGGGTGCCTCTCCCATTCTGGTCTGCAGAACTCTAGGGTGTTTTATGGGGGCGCAGAAAGAAAGAAAGAGGCTTAGGGCTTTTATTGGAGTTCCCATGGAGACCGGAGATCTCTCTTGGCCAGAGGAACAACCCCTAGAAATTAGAGGATCGAGCCTATTTTTCCTTCCCCCATCCAGGAACCAGTCAGGGACCCCCTCCCTTTTGAATGCCACCCAGCCACCCGCCCATTCACGCACTCAATCCCCTCACCTTCTTCAGGACTCCAGCCATAGCCAACCTTTCAGCGCCTTCACGCAAGGGACCCTGGGATACACAAACAGGGGCGACCAATCCCCGTCGCTCCAGGCACGCCACCAGCGCGCCTGCGCAGGCCTCTCACTGTCGCGCCGACTCACGGCAACAGACGTCTGCGCCTAAAGGTAGAGGACAAAGCTAAGGACAGCAGAGTGCGCATGCGTCCGAGCTTCCCGGTGAGGAAGGGAAAAGAAAACGTCAGGGTTCAGTGGAGCGGCTGTCTGACGTACGCATGCGCAAAAACGAGGGTCGCGCTCGCCTCTGAGAGCGTCCCTTAGGGGCGGGGGGAAAGTGTGGTGAGCGCAGCCAATCAGGTGTGCGAGGTGGAAGGTATCTGTCAAGACTAGCCAGGTGTGCTTTATCGGAGGGGAGGGGGAGATACATGGAATAGCCAAACAGGTATCTTCCCTACTTGTAATAGGTGCGGTACTAGCAGCCTGAGTAAAAGGAACGCGAAAAGCAAGCGATTGGTGAGACTGTTCTTTGCAGTGAGTTCAGCAGATAAAAATAGAACTTTCCTTTCGCCAATCCGGATTGTTTGTTTTATTGCTCTGTTACTTTGTGCGTCCTCACGACTGGAAACCGACCAAATAGTTACATTCTGTTCTCTTATAGTACAGTTCATCCAGCTATTTGCAGGGATTTACAAATCCCTTGTGCCTCGCCATTATCATCCACATGTGACGTCTGCCAGTCTCAAAGCAACACATGCTGCAGCTCTGCACAACTGGAAATAATTCCTGTGTAAGGGAAGCAGATAGCGCAGATGTGCAGTTTGGGTTTCTTAAATTAAGTCATCAAAGAACTACAACATACATATTCCCAAATGTTGAAGCTGGAAAGATTGTATCATATGATTTTCCTTAACCTTATTCAAGAGTTCTGAAATAGAAGGTGAAATAGGAAAGTGTGTACCTGTTTGCATTTATGGGAGTCTGCATGGACTCCGTCACTGAATCAAGAGTACTGATCATCCATATACCCTATGTGGACCCTTTCCCAGGATACATTTTGTCGAATGTGATTCTTCCCAGTTCTTCAGTTTGTTAAGGACAGTATACATTGTCTTCCCTCTATACCCATTTTATCCTCAGAAACCATGTGAGGTGGGTTAGACTGACAGGGAACAACTGGACAATAATGCCTAGTAAACTTTATAGGTGAGAGAAGATTTGCAGTTAACTCTTCCCTATCTAATCTGACCCTAACAATTACATTATATTTTCACTTTGTTGTTGATAGAGGATTTTGGAGGTCACTCATTCATAGAATCACTTTTCTAATCTGACCCTAGCAATTACATTATATTTTCACTTTGCTGTTGATAGAGGATTTTGGAGGTCATAGAATCACCATAGGTTCAAGGCAATCTAATGGCACATTATAACCACAATCCTATATATAACTGACAACTGTTGGAAACAGGATAGGAAGCTTTGTTGCCCAGGACCACCAAAGCTATACAAGGCAGCAGTAGGTGGGTGTGATGTTTCCAAACACCAATTCTTGATACACACACTCCAAAGTTGTAACACAACCTGCACTTGCTTAAAAGGAAAAAAATGGGCCCCATTCCATGGTAGAATTATCTTGACTTCCAAATCTGCCTAGCCCTTCAACTTATTTGTCAAAGATTTTACAAGATTCATACATGTTAGCTTGTACTATGAATGAATGTGTACTGTGTAAATTAGCTCTTTGGACTGCTGGTGAGTAACAGATCTTGAGGTTGGTGTGCAGAGTAGTAGAAAAATAGTCTGTGTTGACAAATAAAGTTTCTATTTTTTTCCCCATATTCAGTCTCCACAGAAAAGATTTGGGTTTTTTACATTGTTTTTTCTCAGTTCACGGTGCTGCTGCTTTATAAGAGCGAGCCATAGCCATCTGCTTCCAAACTCCACATGAAGTCTGAGGAAGGATGGAGTGCTACTTCCTTTCTGCTTTTTTGCAGTTGTCATCCATCACATTGTCTCCTTCACCTTTTATTCTTCCTTTCAATTGAGCTTGCTGGCTCTGATGATGGCCTGTCCCTGTAGTGCATCAGTGAAGGAAGGCATAGAGAAACACTTCAGCCAGCGCACTGAAGCAAAGAGGACCAAATTCTTTTCTCTTCACACAACAGGACAACACTTCCACTTGACTTCTGACTTGCCCCACAGCTGATGAACTGATGGTCATCTCTCTGCCCAAGTGCAACTCTCAGCCCCCTAAGTTTGGGTGCATGGTACAAAATGTTTGGGCCCTCTCCTTTACGCTGATGTTTATGTGGAGATAATGGAAACCCAGACAATTTCCTGCTGGGGATGAAGGAAGTGAAGCCTGATGCTGCCTTGGACACTGAGAGCAGTTATCCTGGGCTTGAAAAAAGTTTGCATGACAGCTTCCTGAATCCCCCAGTGGCCATGCTGGCTGGAAATTGTGTGAGCTGCAGTCCAAACAAAATAATGTTTCATATCTCTGGTGATATGTGCTACATATTATTACACCAGCACTGAAAGGACTGTAGTGCAAGACTATATAATGGTCAAACTGACCATATAGATGTCACATTGTAAAAATTGAAACCACATTAGTTGCATTCCCTCCTAGCTTCATGCCTGAGCAATCAGACTTGCAAAAGAAGCCCATGTTTGCTTCTCATTGACTAATTATAAGGCAGTGAAACTAATCTTCAAGCTATGGGACAAGAGAAAAACCTGGGCTATGACAATCAGATGTTTTTCAGACATTAAATAATTTTGCTTCTAACAATTTGGTTCCTCCTAATAGTTACAATAAAGTGTGTAAAAGCCTTCCAACTGAATTATGGCATCTCAGTCCTATCATAAATCAAGCTATGAATTCACCTCCTCCAGTATTTCAAATATGTTAGCCCCTTCCATGGAAGTAGCCTAAATAGTATTTGGAATATGGTACAGTCTTTTCTCTATTATAATTAATGGAAATATTATAAAGGGTTTGAGTAGAATTGAAGTTTCAACATAATATGACAGATCATTAGTTTTCGTGAGTGCTGTCAGAGCCAATCAGAACACAGGTTATGTTATTATTGCAGCCAGACCTCATATTACTTTTGATGAAGTTTTAGAGCAGTCATGTCATACTTTCCTGCAAGCTGCTTGTGTTTCAGTTGTATAAGGTCAGACCTTAATTTAACTACCAACTGTGTATTTAATTTTAGAAATGCCACATGACCTAACCACTCACAAGGCCTGTGCCTGCATGTTTGAAATTCAGGCCCCAATAAAACAATGGCAGGATTTTAAAAAGGTGAGAGTCTCCTTTATATGTTGACTGTTAATTAACCTAATAGCAGAAGCTTGAAACTGGAATACTATGTTAAGAGTAAATCCACAGATGTTGTTTAATAGTGATTGATGTTGTTCTGAATAATCCCAACCTGCATGTCTGTTTGCTTTGATTAACAGATTTCATCTATGCCATTTTAAAATTACTGTCCTGTTTACTTAATATTAAAATAAACTTAATACAAAGAATATTCTTTTCTGGATTTAGAGTCTGACTAAACAACTGCTTCTTGAGAATAATGATAAACAATTAAATAAATGGTTGCATTTAAATTTGTGGACTCAGAAGTGCTAACTGTTATTTATTCTTTTAAAACAAATCAGATTGAAGTAGAAGCAAAACAATAACATTCTGAGTTTGCTATCAGATTTCAGGGTAATATCAATAGGGTGTTAACTGAGGCATTAAGTGGCCTTGAGAAAGGAGTGTTGATAACCCTTATTGATGGGCCTCCATGGAAGATGAAAAGATTAAGAAATGTTCAGAAGAGATGACTCATCTGGATTTCTCCCCCTAAAGGAGGGGGTAGAGTGTTTCTGCCTGAAAAGAAAAGGGAGCAGTTTGAATCACACACAGAGAAAGAGCTACAGTACAGAGAGCTGGCTTGGCGCCCTTAATACTTGGTATAGGAGTACTGGAATTTGGGTTGTGCCTTATCTACCTTTATGTTTGTAACTCAATAATAATAATATGAAATGCTAATAAGCCTCAATGACTTTCAAGTAACACAACAATCTGGAACGAGTTACCTGTTTCATGAGGACATCAGAGAGATACATGTTAAGAATAATAAGACTAGTGGGCACAACAAAGAAAATGTTGGTATAATGAGTTGTATTCTCTATTTCTTTTTTTAAAAAATACTTTTGCATTGCATTTTGTAGGAATCTGGAGCAGAATTTTCACATTTTATGGAATTCATATTAATCTTAAGTTTTTCCTTTAAAAAAAGTAATGCAAAATTGAAGTAAGCAACGGATAATGTTGCAACAAGTAATGAAAACTGCTTAATTCTTTTTAATATTGTCATGAGTGATGGAACTGGTTATATTTTAAAAAAGTAACTCTCCAGGCTCTGATCAAACTTGAGGAAGTCCTGGGCCCCTGAAAAATTCTCACCAGAGGAGTGGGGTGACTGTAAAAAATAAGCAGATAAAAATAACACAAGTTCAAATCATACAAATAAATGTGAACTTCTATGCCTCTAGGGAAGATTAATAAAATTTACGCACATGTGTATAAAATTTCATCTAAGGAATAATGCAACTAAAGATCTTCCCTTGTTTCGAGGCACAAGAACAGATAAGTTCAGAATATACCTTGTTGTATCTTCCTCAATATAACCAATTGTAAAAGCCTTAAAATCCTGTCCCAAAGTTTCTGTACATCCCATAAATAGCAAGGGTGAGCAGACGAGATGTATGAAAAATTTTGGGAATTGTCACCATTTGAGAAATCGATGTAGTTGCTTTATCCATCAATACATTTGCCTTAAAGCATTTTAGAAAGCTCCACCCTTGATCTCTTTGTGTATAGCAAAGGAATTCCTAATTTTCACCAGCAACAACGGCAGTAGTGTATATAAGATAATATAAAAAGCTTGGCTAAAATTTATCTTTGGTGAGTCTTCATGTTGTTTTATGATAGATTTTGAGAAAGCAAACAATGCTCTCTGGAAGGGATTTGCTTATAACCCTTAATCAGTGTTTTTCTGTTGTTTTATATACAAGTATTGGTGTTGCTGTAGCTTTACGTAAATCAGAAGGAACCCAAAAGGGAAGTGCTAGCAACTAGTGCTAGTAATTTAAAAATGGAACACTGCAGTATGTTCAAATTTTTGAGCCACATAGAAGAGTTTTGGGATGGTTACAAAGTTATATAAGTTCAGTGATGAAGTTGTTAAGATATCTACCTTTTGTCCTCTAAAAACATGAGAGATCAGAACTATTTCTCCTTTGGAAATGTTCCGTTTTGTGTCCAAGTATCTGTGAAAATATGATACTTAGGTAACTTTAAAAAAAACCAAATTACTTAATTTCCTTTCCATTTAACTTCCAAAGATGTTTATAACATTTAAAAAACCCACCACTGGTCTTTTGATAAGCTACTAACCTTTATTTTTACAGTAATCGAGAAAGGAGTGAAGAAAGTATCATATAAAGTACCAATCTGTATCCTCTGCACAATGGGCACAATGAAAAGCAGTTGTAGCAGCCTGCATCTGTGAGATTTTGCCTTTGTGGTTTTGAAAGAATTGGAAATTTCCCCACGGACACCAAACAAGCCTACAAGCAAGGGGCATTTATCTATTTGCAACTCCTCAACCATCTTCCAAAATTCCTCATTTGGTACAGTATTCAATGTACACTTGAAAACAAGTCAAGGAGGCACAGTGGGGAACTGAACTCCCAAATTCTGGTTCTGCAGCCAGATATCTAAATCACAGAGCTGTCAGTAGTTGATTATGTAGTCTGAATTCTTTGCCACCCTAAAGGAACCGAGATGGTTGCCTGGATTACCTGCCCTAAATCCAGCCTTGCATGGGGCTTCTGCTCCTCCTCCTCCTCCGGTGTCAATGCGTGAGTAGGATCCAGCTCCTCCACTCCAAAAACAGAGGCTGTGGTCAGCTTTCAAGCGAACTCCCACCAGAGACCTGAGCACTCTACAAAGACTTGTGAGGATCTATCCCATTGTTTCCCAGTGGTTGTGACTCCCAAGGAGGTCACAAAGTGTTTTCTGAGGGGTCGCAGGTCACGTTATATGTGTTGTAGCCTTGTTAATTTTTCTTCCTAGACTTTTTGGAGCCAGGTATTAGAGTCTACAAGAGCTGAGCAGGGCTGTTGAGGACAGAATATTTTGAAGATTGTTCACTCATGGGGTCCCTTTGAGTCAGAAGTGACTTCATGGCACATAACAACAATAACAACACCGATGGAGACAGTCTGTCCCTCCCTCCCTCCCTCCCTCTCTCTTTTCTTTCTTTCTTTCTTTTTTATAAATTTCATAAGCCTAGTTTCATAGACCTAACAGTTTAAGATTAGGAGCTAGTGTATGGATCTGCCTAGAATTGGGGAAGGGGAGATAAGTGCACATAGGTCATAACTTAAATAAATAAATACACTTTAAAAAAGTGGTAGCCTTTCAGCACAAATATGTAGGGGCCTGTAAAAACACCTGGCATTTACATCTGAAATTATTGAAGTGGGAGTCAGGGCTATATTATTCTTAGCCAACATGCAAGCGCTACAAACAGCACAAGAGTTTACCTCACTGCTTAGCTAAATCTTGGAATTATAGTCATCTTTGTTGGAATAGCATATTTTACTATGTTTGACAGAAAGTTTGTATTTTCGAATACATATCTTTCTGAAGACTGCACTAATGCCAGTGTACTGGCATTAAAGGGTTGGAGATACAGAGTCCATCTGTTGATCCTTTCAGCTGACATATAACTAACTTCTGTGTGAATTTCTCAAATTCATTTACCGTACTTCTTTTTAAAAAATTGTTATGTTGAAAATTTCCTTTCCTGCAGAAAGGTGGCAGAAGCGAGTTGACAATTCCCCTCTCTTATTATTGCCTGTGCAAAGTGTTGTTTCTTGGTCCTAAAAATAAAGAGATTTATGAGTACACAGGAGCTATATTTATTTGTGGAGATACTGTAGCCAAGAGCCGGTAGCCAAAATAAGGGCATGTGTTGGTTCCCTATAAAGACAATGGATGCCATAGTGGGGTTTTTATTGAGCATAAAAAGGCTCTTGTTTGTGCAAGATTGTTCTCATCCTGGGAATACACAGCTGTTGAAAGTTGTTAAAGATTAGATTGCACTTACAACATCATCCCTCCAGTTTGGGGATCTTTTAGTGTTGTTGTTGTGCCTGAGATGCCAGTCCTAATTGCCCAGTTACAAAACATAAGCAAGTTATTCTGCCAGATGTGTGCCTGAGATGCCAGTCCAAAACATAAGCAAGTTATTCTGCCAGATGTGGACTGAGGCCAACTCATTTTAGAACAGACAGACAGTGTTTCCTCTTAACACAATAGTTCCCAACCTTGGGTTCCCAGATGTTCTTGGATTAAAACCCACAGAAGCCTTCACCACTAATTGTGCTGGCCAGGATTTCTGGGAATTGTAGTCCAATAATATGTGGGAACCCAACGTTGGGAACCACTGTGGGTACACTTCTTATAGATACAGAATCAAGGGTTTTGTCTAATTATCCAATAGTTTTCATACATCTTGATTCTGAATGCTAGACAGGGAAACTTTGTATCTCAGGAAAGAGCAGCTATAGATTGGTTCAATATTATGAAAGTCTTTATTTTGGTAATGAAATGTTAATAATAGTGGAAGTACAGAAAAAGAAATGAAAGAAAGTGTGGGTCCAGGAATATGGTTTGGCATTAGACCTGTTATTATGTGCCATCAAGTTGCTTATGAGATGGCAACCCTATGAACCTCTAAAAAGTCTTGTCATTTTTGGCTTTGCTCACCTTTTGTTGCAAATTCAAGGCCATGGATTCCTTTAAAAAGTTTTTTAATCCATCTCTTGTTTGGTCTTCCTCTTTTCCTGTTTCCTTAAACTTTTCCCAGCATTATTGTCTTTTCCAGTGAGTCTTCTCATGGTGTGCCAAAAGCATGATAGCCTTAGTTTTTTCATTTTTGCTTCTAGGGGAAGTTCAGGCCTGATATGATCAATTTATCTTTCTGGTGAAGAACTATCCATCTTTTCATCTTTGTTTTCCCCTTCCTGCTTTCTCTTCTAAAGTTATAACTCTATACAGTATGTTCTGATACATTACTGTATGGCAACACTTAGGTAGATTACATTGGTTCAATGGGTCTGTTCTTGGTGGGATTAGCAAAGATTTGGATCTCAGCCTCTGACTGTATAGAAAGTAAGCACCTACTAATGCCTCCAAACACCATTCAGTACAAAATAGCAAAGTGTGACTTTTCATTTATTTTTGTGCCTTGAAAACAGCTCATCAACGTACAGCAAGGAAAAAAAATGGAAGAGAATGAAGACTCTGAGGAAGACCACCTCACTGATTATGCTGTCCAATTTAGCATCCAGGAGTCTCTTGAAAATGAAAGGAGAAGGAGATCTTCTTCTCCCGATCATGAAACAAGGTATTAGGAATTCTTGTAAATCAGTTCTGAGTATCTGGAATATCTCTTCATCTTCTTTGCCTCATATCGCTGTTGTTTCTCCAGTTGTTTTGAATAAGGCTAGCCACAGGATCACCATGGAGCTGGAAAAAGTTATTTTTTGGACTGAGGCTCTCAGAATCACACATGCTGAGTAGGGGAGTCTAAGGACTATAGTCCGAGAAGTAAATCCCATGCTTGGTTCCTTGGCTTGATGGAAAGATGGGCTAGGATACTTTGGGGTTCTTAAATTTTTTAACTGCATGGTTTGCCTCATTCTGGATGGATGCTATATTTACTTATAAAACATATAATACGCATCTTACTAAAGTGGGATAAAATCAATCAGAATTCTTACTAAGGTGGTCTTCTTTTCAACCCTGATTTCCCAAGGAGAACAGGTAGACTCTCTGTCTACCTCTGTGTCAACTGGGGATTGTGTGTAAATGCATTCACCTGTACCAAAAATGGCAGTTCTTAAGATTTAGACTGTGGAAAGCACCAGAGGTATTTAAAGAGACAACAGCAGTGTCTCATTAAATGTGAGATAGTATTAAACATTTGCTTTCCTTCTGTTATTCTTCTCAATAGGTTTGTGCCAGTCAGTGAGGAAAACCGTAAGCTTGTAGCTGCCATAAGAGAAGGTAAAAGGATTGAAAGATACTAGTGTTAAAATGATTCTAATACTAAACAGTTACTGTTGTTGCAAATTATATGACTTGTATTTAAGCATTAATTGTCACAGAGATTGTACTTCTTGCAATTTTTTGCCATCTAATCCCTCAAATTTAGATATCCAGTGTGGTGTAGAGTGATAGACTAAGACTCAGGAGACCTGGATTCGAATCCCTATTTGACCATGGAAACTCACTGAGTGGCAGGTGGAACTGGTAAAACCCCTCCTTAAATATCTCATTTACTATGAAAGCTCTGTAAGAGTTGCTATGGGTTGGTTTTAACTTGATGGCACAAAACAACACATCACCACCAATTAAACCATCCACACTGCCCAAACACCATTTTATTTTTGTGCCTGCTTCTTGAGAACAGCACAAGGAACAAAGAATAGGATGTGGGGTCCCCAAGATTACACAAATGTAAGATAGGGTGATATCTTTTATTGGACCACTAAGAAACTAAACAAATAGTAAGCTTTAGTGGATGAAATCCACTTCCTCAGGCTACGCACACCTCTTTCATGAATAGTGCAGATTTTTTTTTCCAGATAAGCAGTCGATGCTTTTAATATAGTGGACTGTAATCTAAAGTCACCATCCTAAATTTCCCAGGCCTACCAGGGGAGAAGCCCTCCCCTGGTAGGTCTGGTCTAGCAGGCTTTCCTGGGGGTAGACCGGGCCTACCGGGGGAAGCCCTGGTAGGCCCGGTCTACTGGGGGAGGGCTTCCCCTGGTAGGCCCAGTCTACCCCCCGGGAAAGCCTGAAGGCGGCAATTGGCGGTGGCGGGGGACCTCCGGGAGGTCTCCTATGGCGGTGGGGAAGCCCTGGGAGGCCTCCGAAGGCGACAAGCGGTGGTGGAGGACCCCAGGGAAGTCTCCCATGGCGGCGGGGAAGCCCTGGCTCAACAGCAGTGGCTGGAGTCCAAGAGGCCTCCTGGCAGTGGCAGCGGAGGTAAGGTGCTGCTTTTTGCTTTTTTAAAGCTATTTTTTAAATAATCTTTTGCAGGGTGGGATTGGGCTGGTGGGGTTATGTTTCTGTTTATTTTGGGATTTGTTTCTTGCAGCCCCAGGGGCTTGCAGTGTTTTATTGTTTTATTTTTGGGGGTATTTTTTTTCTTCGGCCGGAATGGATTAATTGGTTTTCAGTGCATTCCTATGGGAAATGGTGCTTTGACTTACGAACGTTTTGACTTACGGCCACAGTTCTAATACGGATTAAGTTTGTAAGTCAAGGCACCACTTTATTTTCCTCTTTAGGTCATGTATTTGATCTGCAGAGCTATGTGAAATATAAATATGCTTTGGATGAAGCTGATGAGAGAGGTTGGTTTCCTTTGCATGAAGCTGCTGCCCAGCCAGTTCGGCAAATTCTGGAAGTAATTTTAGATGGTAAGTGGCCCCAGAATTTGAAACATTTGTTTTTGAAAGGATTCCAATGAGTTGGCCCATTTGAATCAATTGAATTTACAGAGAAGCTGACTCACCAAACCCCACTGATTCAATGGGTCTATTCTAGTTGCTGCTACTTGTGGATTTCAGCCAACGATTCCTTAGACACCAAGGACTGATTAAAGAATGCTATTAAATCTGAATAGAGATGAGGGTATTCGTATTTGTGCAGCTGGATTTAACTCACACATCTGCCGGCAGCCCCTCTCTTCTTTCCAGTTGCTCCGGAGCACCACTTGGCTAGCCACTCGGCAGCCTTGCAGGGAGACTCGTCCTCCCTCCCCCTGCCAGGAGTGGCTAGACGACCAGGAAGAGAACGGCGCTCCGGAGCAATTGGAAGGATGGGTGGGGCCAGCGGTGGTGGCAGATGTGTGAGTTGGACCCTTGTGAACTCCAGCTGCGCAGGGATTTTTTATACGAATACAGATACTCCCATCTCTAAATCTGAACTATTCTAGACTAAATGTCTCTAACAATGCCTTAAATACCCTCAAAAATGAAACTTGAAAGTAACCAGAAAATGTTACTTGTTATACCTAAAAGTAACTTTGTCACTACTGCTTAGAATACTGTACATTACTTTCCCTGCAAGTTTGTAATTATTCACTTTTTGTATATGAATACAGATACTCCCATCTCTAAATCTGAACTATTCTAGACTAAATGTCTCTAACAATGCCTTAAATACCCTCAAAAATGAAACTTGAAAGTAACCAGAAAATGTTACTTGTTATACCTAAAAGTAACTTTGTCACTACTGCTTAGAATACTGTACATTACTTTCCCTGCAAGTTTGTAATTATTCACTGCAATGGCTGATGCCCCAAAAGGAAACTAGTTACAGGTAGCAATGTTATTTTAACTTGTTACTTCAAAGGTCTGGTAGCAGAGTTCAAAAAGTTGCAAACATGATAGATCAAATCAATGCCTCCAGGAAAGAAAAGAATGAGAACCTTTTCTTGACTTTTTAAATTCCACTTTGATTCTGAAGTACATAAATAGACATGTTCCCACAGTAGCAGTCAGCTGGTCTACATAGTGTGGAAGAAAAATAACTCAGAACAGGAGACTAATAACACACCTGGGAAGCAGGAAGCACAGTCTGAATCTAGGTCAGAAGACAGCATCAGACAGTCTATTTTAGAGTCTGGACATGGGCTCAAAGGCTAATTGATGAACAGATAAATTTATGGTTGCTATTAATCTGGAATGGTGCAAAAACAGGACAGCTAGAGCAGGACAGAAATTTTAAAACTGGGAATCCAGGGACACAGCAGTAAGTCCAGGGCAAGAACAAATTGATAGAAGAGGAAACCCAAAAAAGCGGCTGAGTAAATCAAGTGAATAGTCGAAATGTGAAAACATAATTTTGTGTTCTCACAGATCTAATAATATATTTCAATCATATATTCTCAACTTAGACAGAATCACAGAGACAAAAGGTACAGGTCCTGATCTGGAGATTGTGGATAAAACATAGTGCTCTGCATGTGGACTTATTTTACTGAGTGGATGGTCACTGCTCTCATTGGTAATAGTGCCAGTTCTCTTTCTGAAGGAATATTATTTGGTAGTGTGGGGAATACACAGCAACTAAGCTATCATTCAGACATTGATACCCTCAAGTTTCTTCCTCTCCATGCAAGAAGCCAGGTCATATCCAGATTTATTTCTTTATTTTTTGTGGCAGGCAGTAAAGTATGCATTGGCTTCTTCTATGAGAAGTGGCCATTTTTCCACTGTCTTGTAACCCCCCTCCAACCAAAAACCTGTGTGATGCTAGGTGATACTCTGCAACAGGGTTTTTATACCAGAGAAAGATAAATTAGGGAAGGAGAAGAAAATAATGATTGCACTAGTATAGGATGTGGAATTACGCTGTTGGATATAGCCAGAGCATGTATGTTACTTTAGGACTGCCTTATAAGCTAGCTATTATTTATATTTTAAAAATATTTTTGATCTGCATTTGTACAATTTTTTACATGTAATTTGAATTTTTTTGTGACTCAGATAATGCAGCAATTTTACCCCAACTTAAATCTAGCAACTTATAAAACTATGTGGGAATACAGGACTTGTGATGGAGAGACACCCTTGACATTGGCTGCCAAATCCGGCTATGTGGAAAATGTCCGGACCTTGTTGGAAAAGAGGGTGTGGCCCAATACTACTAACAGAAAAGGAGAAACTCCTCTTCTAATAGGTAATTGTTTTATTAATGGTTGGTGAGTTTTGTTTGTGTGTTTGTTGGTTTGCGTGCTTGTTACTAGTTATTTCCAAGTCAAAAGCTGACCATTAAAAGGAAACTTATAAATGTGCAAACCTTTGATCCAATGAATTATGGCTATTTAGCCTATTCTATGCTGTAATGTTTCATTCTGTTTTACTTTGATTCTAAATTATTTCTATTTGTCTCTGTGTTGATCTGTTCCCTAAGTGCATGTGTAAACATCAGTATAGAAATAAAGAGAGGTCGCCATAATTCAAAAACAACTCAATGACACATTGCAACAACACGGCAGGATAGGGTGTACCTTTACTTATCAAACCCCTTGCACACACCTTGGTAGTACTGTGGGGCCAGAAACCACATAATTTTCTCAGTCTATAATAGCCCTCTTGGCAGTCCAACTGTGGCCAGAGCATTTGAGGAGCGTCCCCCCTACAAATTATGGAGTGAGCCCATATCCTTTCTGAGCCACCAAGACCAAATGCAGTAGCTTTACTGAAGGATACTGAGGACCAAACTAAGCATGATGTTAATGCTTAGGAATCAAAATATAGCATTTTAGACAGACACCCACACCAAGTCATTTTGTCACAAAATCCATGGAGGATAAGGCCATGCATTACAGGCCTTATCACCTGAAGCTGTAAATAAGTCCCTCAGATTTCAACTACCGGTACTTCTTGTATTTCAGTCTCTCTCTCTCTCTCTTTTTTTTTTTTTTTACAAATTCTCCATTCTTCTTCCAGCAATAAGGTTTGTTCTAATCCTGCAAATTTAACTGTAAAAGAGCAATTCGTTCTTCTCATTAGAACTTTTATTTTTTAAATATAGTAAAGGAATTTTTTTTTCTTCTAACACCCCCTGTTCTTGTAAATGACACAGGGCTCCTACTAGCTTTTGAAGGTGTCCACCTGCTCTCTCACCGTACACCCTCATTTCATGACATTGAAGCCTGCTTTTCCCACCTAAGTGGTGTGGGACACTTTTATCATGTTTTTAGGGCTTTTGAAATATTTTTGCCTAAGGGGAGCTTTTTTCCCAAAACTAGAAATTATCAGGAGTGACTTCTGGTTTCAAAAAAACCCTCCTAAGACTGAAAATAGTCAGACAAATTTCTCCCTGTACTTCCTAGAAGGTAAATTTCTCCATGTACTCCTTAGAGGTCACAAGGGGCCTTTTTAGGTTAAAAAAAATGATGGTCAGTACATGAAGCCAATGGGCCGCACTTTGCCCATCCCCGTTGTGACATTTGTTTTATTACTAATATAGGTGTGAAGATATTGAATTTTAAATGTTAGTTGGATTAATTAAAAATACTTTCATTACCCTGAACCAAGTGGTCAGAGAAAATCTGGGAAACTGCTATGGCAGGAGGTGTGAGATTTCCCAGCACCCTGAATCAAAGGATGTCCTGTGTTCCAAGGACTTTGGGAGTCATTGAGATTCTTGCCTGTCTTGTATCTTCTGCAGCTTTTTTTTCATTTGGTAAAAATACCGTAATATTTTACTGTGTTTGTTTCATTGAGGTGTAGAATCTACAATGTTTTCTTTCTGTTTTTTTTTTATTATTATTATTTTCAGCAGTTAGACAGGGCTCATATGAGATGGCTTCCGCTCTGATTGAGTACAACTGTACCATTAACCAGCCCTGTGTAAGACGTTGGTCAGCAATGCACGAAGCTGCAAAACAGGGGCGCAATGATATTGTTGCTCTTCTTCTGAAGAATGGTGGGAATGTACACTTGACAGATGGATATGGAGTCACCCCATTAGGTGTGGCTGCTGAATATGGCCATTGCGATGTGCTAGAGCATCTGATCCATAAAGGTGTGTTAATAACAGCATGTATTCAACATACGTCATTTCCTACAAAATGGCTGGTCTGGTGTCTTCTTTTCACACCTGCTTTAAAGCATTTGTGAACTTTCTCCTTCCCAAAATTCTATATTGGGGGTGGAACCTTAGTATCAATAATACCTCAGAGTATACTGTGAAGAGTTAACTGGGATTTATTTATGTAGATACACTGATATTTCTAAAGAGTCTTTTCTGTTCTTTGAATGTTGTAGCGGCTATTGACTAAAAGCAGTAAAAGCTTGATTGAATTTTTTGTTTGTTTGTTTCTACTTAGCCAGGATATACCTAAACATTGATAAATAGCTTTTGATGTATATCAGGAGCTAATTATGAGAATCATTGAGGTGAATGGAATAGATAAAATGGTGGTAAGAGAGCTGGGCTCCTGTATAATATAACCCACAATATTTCTAATTTTGAATTTACCTTATGGGGTTGTAGTGTGAACATAGCAGTGTGATTTATATGTACTTCCTAGTGTATCTTGAAGTAGGAGAAAATACAGTAAAATTTACTGAGTAAATGTTCTCTTTCCCCACCCACACCCACCCCTCGGTCACTGTTCCTGTTCATTAAATACACTGGAGTGGGGAATCAGGATAGCAGTCCTTTGACAACTTGTGACATAGAGGTAGCTGTGATGTGTTACTCTATATGCATTAAAAGAGTGTCCTTCACAAATATGGACAAAAGCATGTGTGTATTTAAAGGTTCCCCTTGACAATTTTTGTCCTGTTGTGTTCGACTCTAGGGGGCGGTGCTTACCCCCGTTTCCAAGCCATAGAGCCAGCGTTTTGTCCGAAGACAATCTTCTGTGGTCACATGGCCAGTGCGACTTAGACACGGAACGCTGTTACCTTCCCACCGAGGTGGTCCCTATTTATCTACTTGCATTTGCATGCTTTCGAACCGCTAGGTTGGCAGGAGCTGGGACAAGCGACGGGCGCTCACTCCGTCACGTGGATTTGATCTTACGACTGCTTGGTCTTCTGACCCTGCAGCACAGGCTTCTGCGGTTTAGCCCGCAGCGCCACCACGTCCCACTGAGTGTATTTAATCCTGGTTAATTCTGTATCTGAATTTACAAACGCTGGCTGCTGAAAGTAGCAGATATCCCATGTTTCACTCTTTTAAATTCTATGCTGAGATCATTTTTAAAATAAATCAATAAAAACAGGGGAAGACATGGTTGGCCTTGCTGGTTTGAATTCAATGGTGAGTTTACCTTCCTCCACTAGGTGGTGATGTGCATGCTACAGCTGATGATGGCTCATCTATCCTCTTTGAAGCAGCTGGTGGCGGTAATCCAGACTGTATAGCTTTGCTGTTGGAATATGGGGGAAGTGGTAATTTGCCTAATAAAGCAGGCCACCTCCCTATACACAGAGCAGCATACGAAGGGCATTATCTGTGAGTATGCTTCCTTTCTCTTTCTTGGTCCAGTGTGCTTCCTTGAAAAATTGCAATAGTTATAAACATTGATGACAGTATTGTTGCTTTTATACCACTGTTAATATATGCGGAATCCTAGGGTAACATAAGCAAGGAAGATGATTTCTGGTCTCCTGCATTAGGCTTATCACCCAGTTTTTGATTCTGTCATTTCTAATTATTGTATAACTCTTTAATATTCTTACTATTATGTACTCCATGAGAACCTGAGATCTATAGGGACATAAAAGGATATTAATACTTTAATAAATCTGTCTGCTACCAAGTGCATTCTTCCTGGTATAGCCTATTTGACCAGCAATAGCCCTCCAAAGCAGAAGCAGTTGCCAGCCTTAAGGATGTTTTTTTTAAAAAAAACAACACTGATGGGAGAGAAGCAAAGTGCAATTGTCCAGATGTTCTTGGACTTCAACTCCCATCAGCCCTAGCCAGCATAGCCAATCACAAGGAATGCTGGGAACTGTAATCTAGCCATATTTGGATGGCCACACTCTTGGCCACCCCTCCTGTAAGTAAGTACCTATGTATAACCAATAGTCATGTAACATCTGCTCAGTGAACAAGGAATATCCTATGATGAATCAAGTGCTAAGGTTCATATTTCTAACATGATAAATTGTTGTGTTTTCCAGCCATCCTTCTTTTGATGTTATTGTTGTTCTTGGCAGGGCCCTGAAATTCCTCATTCCAGTTACTTCCAGAACAGCAATCCAGAAAAGTGGACATAGTCCTGTTCACTCAGCAGCTGAAGGCCAAAACCCACAGTGCCTAGAACTTTTAATTGAAAATGATTTTGACGTCAATGCCGTTTTGGCAGAGCGCATTTCACAAAGTTACGACGATGAGAGGAAAACAGCACTTTATTTTGCCGTTTCCAACAACGATGTTCTCTCGACTCAGATATTACTGCAAGCAGGTGCGGATCCAAATAAAGATCCCCTGAGCTGTCTACTTGTAGCGGTGAGAGCTGGGAACCATGAAATTGTCCGGTTGCTTCTTTCTTATGGAGCAAATGTCAACTGCTACTTTAACCTTGTGAATGACACCCATTTTCCCAGTGCCATACAGTATGCCTTGAATGACGAGGCAATGCTAAGGTTGTTGCTTAACCATGGATACCGTGTGGATCTGTGTTTTGACTGCATGCATGGGGACATCTTTGGAAATTCTTTTGTGTGGTCTACACCGGAGGAAGAAATCTTACCTGGATGGACATCTTGTATAATTAAAGATAATCCGGTAAGCACTTTACCTGATATTTTTCTCCATTTCTCTACTATTTTTAGAGATTTTCCAGATGGATTGCTCCTACTGTTACAAATCAAAAAAATATTGTATAGTTGCTATGTCTTTTCTTACTTACTAGATCTTTTTTGTGAAAAGAAAAAAGTAGTAGTAAAATACTAGTAGGAGGGCTAAAAGTAGGAGATAGTATGTATCATTCATAGAACTATGCAATGGTAGAATACTAGGGCTGTATTAGACTCCAGGGATCGTCTAGAACATCCACTAGTGCAAGAAATCCAAAAAAGAATCCCTCACAGAAAGGCATCCATCATCTCTGTAAAAACTTCCAATGGAGATTTCACCATTTTCTTAGGCTGTCCATTCCACTGTCAACACAGCTATTGCTGCTCAGACGTTCTTCCTACAGGTTAGCTGGAATCTCCTTTCTTTAACTTGGATCCATTGGCCTGGAACCAATCCTACAGAGCAGAAAAAACAAACTCCCTTCTCAAGTATTGTCCCATCCCCTTCCCCACATTCCATGTACAGTGAGCCGGGATGAAGGCACAACAAAAGTCTACTCTTGAAGGATCTTTAATCAACATTTTCAAGTGCATAACTCTGAATGGGTTAAATTTAAGCTGACACACTTTGCTATGGACTATTCCGAAGGAAAGAGGAGAAAGGACTGTATGAATATTTTTCTCATTCTCTATTTTTAGCCAGAATGACAAAGGCCAAATGTAGAGCAAGGCTGGAGTGCTAACTAAAGCATGCCATAAGAAGAAAATGTTGACATATAGTTTATGTTCTTGCCTCTGTCGATAAGGGGGGTTAGAGACACATTCCTAACTTCGATCAACTGGTCTTGTTGCCTACAAATGACATAGGTCATGCTTATGTTCATGGCTATCTAGTGCCATTGATTTTAGTATAACTTGATCTTATTCTGGAGTAGAAGAAATGCCCCCACTAGGAAGTGATAATACAGGTAGAACTAAGGGAAAAATCAATGCTAGAATAGCAACAACAGGATACACAATGCTATGTGGACAAACAGGTTGTGTCTGTCACTAGGTAACCTAAATCAGTGATGACAGTTACATAGAGACAATAGAAGATTAAGGACATTGCTGTTGGCACCACACCATGGCATTTGTCTTGCTTCCTAGCTACAAAAAAGCAAAGAGGGCTGGCCTCTGTCTATAGTAGGGGATATCTTACTACTCCACCCTCATTGTTGGTCATAAATTACCACTTCAGCTACAACAGTTTTACGCCCCCAGAGAAAACCTGTGGGATCTTCTTGTCAGTGAGTTTTAAATGCATGTAAATTGAACTGCTTTGAGGACTGAGCTGCCCCTTAGAACAGTCCATCAGCAGGCGCTCTGCCGTATCTCTTCTTCTGGTTTGTACCGCACAGGCAGTGATCACAGATTCTGCCTGCTCACAACATCAAGGCTTTTGCTTGCAAAAGGAGGTTCTGGATATTTTCGAATACTCAAGCTCTATACATGTTGTTGTGCTCGCACAATAGTTCACTGAGTGGATGGAATCATCAAACAGAATTCTTCCCAGTGTATTTATTTTCCACCACTGAAATGCAATAACATTGCATTCTCTTTTCTCTCAAAAAAGAACATGTAACTGTCCTAGAACTGAAGAAGTTAGAAACTGCACTATGACATTATAATTGTTTAAGTATTTTCTTTAGCCTCTCAGAACAAAAATGAGATAATATTTGGGTGGTTTCACTTTCCTTTGTCTTCTGTGTGTTGGAATCCTGCACAATATCTTATTTTTGTTAATTGTTTCATAGTTGTTGTTCTGATTTTTGTTAGCTGTTGCACAATTATTATTAATTGAATCTGAGAGAAGATTTAAGGTAACGCTAGACATGTTTCTTTTCAGTTTTGTGATTTTATTACTGTTCCTTGGATGAAACACTTAGTGGGACCCATTGTTCGCATTTTGATAGATTACATGGATTATGTTCCCCTGTGCTCAAAACTCAAGTTTGTGTTGGAGTCACAGAAAGAATGGGCAGAGATTCGTGACATACTAGGTAAATATATACATTATTGGCTCTATAAGGTAATCTAGTAATGCAACAAATGATATATTTTTTAACCTGGTCTGTAAATATGTAGCTCAGACAAGTTTATTCCACTGAAAATGTGTTTCCAATATGTCTTAATCTTAAGGATACCTGGTTAAAATAAAGAGGATTTACTTCCTTGTAACTCTGTTTGGGGAAGTAAATCCTCTTCATTCCTGTCCCCTTCATGGATTGTTGCCTTGTCGTGGCGAAGGGGCTTGGGTAACTCAGAGAAGCTATGGGCTATGCCGTGCAGGGACACCCAAGATGGCCAGGTCATAGTGGAGTGTTCTGACTAAACGCAACCCACTTGGAGTAGGAATTGGCAAGCTACTCCAATATCCTTCCCAAGAATACCCCATGAACAGAATCATTCCTGTCCCCTTCATGGATTGTTGCCTTGTCGTGGCGAAGGGGCTTGGGTAACTCAGAGAAGCTATGGGCTATGCCGTGCAGGGACACCCAAGATGGCCAGGTCATAGTGGAGTGTTCTGACTAAACGCAACCCACTTGGAGTAGGAATTGGCAAGCTACTCCAATATCCTTCCCAAGAATACCCCATGAACAGAAACAAAAGGCTTTGGCAAGCTACTTCAATCTCCTTCCCAAGAATACCCCATGAACAGAAACAAAAGGCTAAAAGATATGACACTGGAAGATGGGTCCTCAGGTCGGAAGGTGTCCAACATGTTCCTGAGGAAGGGCGGAGGACAACTACAAGTAGCTCCAGTGCTAATGAAGTGGTTGGGCCAAAGCCGAAAGGACACTCAGCTGTGGACGTGCCTGGAAGTGAAAGGAAATTCAAATGCTGCAAAGAAAAATATTGCATAGCAACCTGGAATGTAAGATCTATGAACCTTGGGAAGCTGGATGTGGTCAAACAGGAGACGACAAGAATAAACATTGACATCCTGGGCGTCAGTAAACTAAAATGGACAGGAATGGGCGAATTCAATTCAGATGATTATCATATCTACTACTGTGGGCAAGAATCCTGTAGAAGGAATGGAGTAGCCCTCATAGTCAACAAAAGAGTGGGAAAAGATGTACTGGGATATAATCTCAAAAATAATTGAATTATTTCAATATGAATCCAAGGCAGAACTTTCAGCATCACAGTAATCCAAGTTTATGCACCAACCACCCATGCTGAGGAGACTGAAATTGACCAATTTTATGAAGACTTACAACACCTTCTAGAACTGAAACCAAAGAAAGATGTTCTTCTCATTCTAGGGGATCAAGAGATAAGTAGGGAGTCAAGAGATAAAAGGAACAACAGATATGTTTGGCGTTGGAGTTCAAAATAAAGCAGGCCAAAGACTAATAGAGTTTTGTCAAGGGAATAAGCTGGCCAACACAAGCACTCTTTTCCAACAACACAAGAGGTGACTCTATACATGGAAATCACCAGGTGGGCAACATCGAAATCAGATTGATTATATTCTCTGCAGCCAAAGATGGAGAAGCTCTATACAGTCAGCAAAAACAAGACCTGGAGCTGATTGTGGCTCTGATCATCAGCTTCTTATAGCAAAAGTCAAGCTTAAACTGAAGAGTGTAGGAAAAACCACTGGGCTAGCCAGGAGTAATCTAAATCAAATCCCTTATGAATACACAATGGAAGTGAAGACCAGATTTCAAGAACTAGATTTGGTGGACAGAGTGCCTGAAGAACTTTGGATAGAGGCTCGTAACATTGTACAGGAGGCAGCAACAAAAACCATCCCAAAGGAAAGGAAATGCAAGAAAGCAAAGTGGCTGTCCAAGGAGGCCTTACAAATAGCAAAGAAGAGAAGGGAAACAAAATGCAGGGGAGATAGGGAAAGTTACAGAAAATTGAATGCAGACTTGCAAAGAATAGCAAGTAGAGACAAGAGGGCCTTCTTAAATGAACAGTGCAAAGAAATAGAGGAAAATAATAGAAA